TCTCCTTAGTAAACTTTCTCTTTCTCTAACCAATTAGTCTCCTCATTTGTTTGCCTGAGTGTCCGCAAAGTTCTGCTGTGTCTTTGTGAGACACCAACCCTGGGATCTGCTCCTGGCTGGGAGACTTGGCCTGAACACCTCACATTTCCGTATCAGTGGGGTCTGTATCCTGCCCTTAGAGCAGAAAATATTACATAGAGCTGCTCCCTGCACACGGGCTACAGGGAGGGGCCACAGGACTTTCAGGGACCTTGGGGAGACTCTGGGGTCACATCAGCTCCTGGAGTGACAGGAAGTCAGGGTGGCTTCTCCCTGAGCCGGAGGCAGGACCGTCATCAGTACCCAGAGGGGAACCCTCACTCTCCCGTATCCCTCTCTGGGGTAGACCTGGCCAGTGGGCATTTCCTGCAGCTGTGACCTGAGGCTTGAGGGGGTGGCTGTCCCCTACAGGGCCTGTGCTGACCCCTGACACCTCCTTTCCTGCTCAGCCCTGAGAAGTGACAGGAAATAAGACAGGGGAACCCCCAGAGAGTCAGGGCTGCAGGAAATGGGAGGCCCTGAGCTGTAAAGACCTTCACAGTCATCCTCACTGTCCCTGGGAGGGTGATCCATGAAAAGACCTCAGGCCAGTGATGGCTGAACCTGGACATAGTGGGCCCCTGACTCCCCGTCCCTGCTCGGTCCCTGACCCTGAGGGAGGACAGAGCTGAGGAGCTGGAGAGGAGCTGGACACTCACCTCCTCCTGCTCTTCCCTCATTAAAAATATAAGAAACAGATGGAGGCAAATATTTAGGTCACAGGAAGCCATTTATCTATAGAGAGAACATTTGTTACCCTAGGTTGAATATAATTTATGATATTTAGCCATGAGCTTTAAACCCTGATGACTGTTATCAACCTGAGCGCCAAGTAGCAAAAGGTGTCTGTTTTAAGCACCCCAAATCTCTTCTATAAAATGTTGTTAATGGAGAGGGAAAATGAAGAACGAAGGTTCCATCTCACAAGGACCTGATTTGTACATGTCCTAGATGGTGACATGACTTAAGACACTATTATTACAGGGTGAGGGGATGTCAGGACAGACACCCTAGGAATGTGGCCCAGGGGCAGGGGGAAGCTCCCCACAATGAGGCCTATGAGCACGAGGGTAAGGGGCCTATTTATGGTCCATGGTCAACACAGACGCTCCTGAATCCTCCTGGTGGGTCTGCAGATGTGAATGAAACTGTTAAGGGGAAGGATGTCCTAAAGGAACTCTGCAGAGTTACTCAAGCTTTCTGGGCTCCCTTATCCTCTACTCCAGTGATTGGAAACTACAACTCCCAGCAGTACTAGGGAGAGAACTGCGAGCACCCAAGGGCGGAGCTAAGCAGGCATTCTGGGACTTTGGGGGGTAAATAGGGCACCATTTTCCCAAAGGGCCTCTCTCGCTCAGGCAACAGCTCTCAGGAATGTATGACAGGGGGGTTTCAGTTCCCAGAGCTCCAAGTCAGCCTACCCGGTAAGATATTCCAGTTATAATTTGTATCCCTCTCTCTTTCCCTGGATTGCTTCCTTTTCCTTTCCCCTTTTTTAAATAAATCCATTTTGACCCTTTTGTGTGTGCCTGCAGGACAACTGAATTTTAAGCGTGGGTGAGGCCCCACAGACAAGCAGCCCAGTTCACACTGGGGTGCCCTGTAACAAAATCATGAAATTCACAAAGAATGGGGTCCAGATGTGGCAGTCCACACTGCAGGAGGATGCTCAGCCAATGAGGAAGGGTGAACTAAGATATTCCAGCACAGTGGAGGGAGGAAGTGAGAACTGTGTCTAGTAAAGTAAGCCGCAGTGACAAAGGGAGATGCTGGCCACTGCATGGCAGCCCTCTGGCAGAGTAACAGACGCAGCAACAACTGGGCCTGTTGAGGACACCGGGGGGCTCTGTTGTGAAGGGCAGGAAGGAGGCAAAGGACAACGATCAAAAGGCTAGGGGTGGGGAGTATACACATGTGGAGCCACAGGAAAGTAGGGGTGTTTTTGAGGTCATGAACATACAAACACATTTGTGGAACATAGGGGAAAAAGGGGGACAGGGACCTTTAGAACATTACGTGGGTAATATGACACTATGATGAACAACTTGAGCAGTAAATGTGAAGTGGACATTTACACTAGACACAAATTACCCAACTGAGTTCAGAAAAATAATCCTAAATAATGGATTGAAGTAGTTAAATTAAAATTTTAAAATATTGCACAGGAAAACCCCAGGCTTAGGGGCCTTCCTGTGAGCCATCAAACTGTGAGTGTTGACACCAGACTGCAGGAGCTGGAGGAGACAACAGAGGAGAGAGAAACACCCCCACATCACTTATGAGACTTAGAACTCAGGTCAAACCCAACAGAGGTGCCAAAAGGTAACTTCAGACCACTGTCTCTGCTGAGTCCTTAATGAAATGTAAGAATGGTCTAAGTCAACATGTTAGGGCCACCAAGTCTCATTTGGGATTCAAATTTGAACGATTTATAGACGTCAGTCAGAGAGGGGAATCATGGAGGAGGAGCAGCACCTGTTTCAAGACACTGTGTGACGCTCAGGTGATGAGAGCAAGCGCGCAGCACAGGCC